AAAACAAAAAGACTTTATTTAACGACGGTAACATAATTTACTGGTTGCCCAGTAGTTTACAATATGGCCCTCCCTAATTTTACATAAAATCATTTACATATTATATACTTACCAACTGTTGTTGGTGACTGACGTTTCGACAACCTGAGCGGAAGTCATCTTCAGAGTCGAGTGAATAGTGTTTGTCAGTTGATGATCTTATAAGTCTGGTCCGTTGAACGTGATTGGTCAGTATAGCCATGATGGTATTGGCTGAAAGACTCGTGTAAAGTCATCAGTCATTGGTGGGTTTCGATCCGTCTATTGTTAGTCAAGTAGGTCGGTTTTGGTCCGTGTATTGTTATTCTGTAAATGGTAAGCACCCCAAGTCGCCTTCCTACTTCAATTCTGACACAGGCATAGTGTCGAATTTGAAAAGCCGGTGAGAGCATATTTTTTCATTTGGGTGAATGAAAAATAGTTCCAGGAACTCTGAAAGTATTTTGATGACTTACTTATCCATCTCCTTTTAATAATATAATACTTTTCATTTCACGTGGTGGCGCCCGAGTATGTTATCACTAGCAAACTTGCATGTTTTGCAGAAAACAGAGGTTTACCTGGATTTTAGCATCAAATATGCTGGCTTCGTTTTCGTGGTAGAAATAATTTATGCAACTTTTTTATGTGTACAGTTTCTACAACTTTAATATATCGTTGTTGATTTAAGTTCTGTACAGAGAAACTGGAAAATGCTTGCAGAAAATTGCTAAAATTTAAAGAAATAAACACAGCGTTTTCATCCCCAAGGCACCTATTTTTAATCCTGGAAAGAAATTTGAGCAGGGCATATTTTGATCAGGTGCTAGGCAACCACCTCTGAGCTGTGAGCATGCGTCACGCAATCAACAAAACAATGTTATAAATTGTAATTTTCGTCAAGCTTCGTCTACTTGAACACTTGATTACCCTCAAGCCTAAAATTTACCTTTTGTTCTCAAAATAGTTATCAAAAATTTAGTCTGTGAACGGCTTGCCTGGGTCCTTGCCCATGGGGCAAGTAAGGAGAGAAAGTTACTTGCCCGAAGGGAAAATCTACTTGTCCTGGACGACCGGATGGGGTTTTTTTCAAGTCCTGAAAAGATAAGTGAATTTTATTCAAAATGACGTGAACATCGTCAATAGCTTTTCGTGCTCTTTGATTGGCTACTTTAAAAAGCCCATAAAATCTCATTGGTTCAAAAGTTGACAGTTTGACAGCTGAAAGTTGAACTTGAAAGCTTGCATAAATTAAAGTTTTATCCGTCTGTACTCTTAATGATAAAAATGAGCCAATCAGCACGCAAGAAATTAGACAGTTATTGTAAAATTTATATTGTACCTCTATTAAGTGGCCAACCTCTATTAAGCGGCCACTTTTCAAAGTCCCGATGGTGGCTGCTTAAGGTGGCGTACTACAGTTTTTCTGAGACTAGTAGCGCATGCTATGATTGCTTGCCAGATGCCAGTATTTAATTGCACGTGCACAAATGACGCAAGCAACCCTAAGAAGAAATGAAAACCACTTCAGCACTTGAAAGGCGTTAAATCACTTCGGTATAAGTAGCAATAGTTTCAAACTCCGTTCAAACATGTGTTTAAGCGTAGGGCCAAAAAAATATGGCAAAAAACTCGATAAACAACTGATGAAAGAGCTCTAAATTACTCTTGCTTTCTTACATGTGATACATGGCGTCACATGAGTGTGTGCTTAAATAAAGGGCATGCACAATTCAATTCTCGTCCAAGGTTGTAAAAGCCAGTCTTTGATTGAGGATTGCTCGAAAACCTACTGTACAACCTATGATGAAATTTTCACAGTTGATTTGTAGGGGGTGAATCACGTTTAGAGCCAAAATTTTTAAAAAATCTGTAAGACAGATTTTGAGCTATTTTTGATTTCACATTTTCTTAGTTTGCGATAAACAAATCTGTCTTACAGATTTTTACTTTACTTTACATGAGTGTTAAATCAGAGCCAATTTCTTATTCCTGAAATTTTGAGGTGGCGTCATACGAGTGGATTCTGAGAAAAACGTGACTTAACCTACTAGTGCCCAGTCTCTCCCTAGGTACTTGGTCGTTCATTTTGGCTTTTTGTTGACGTAAAATTGTTCAAGTTTCACATAAATGGTAAATGACTTAAATAAACAGTAAGTAGAGAGAGGAAAAACATCTTGGAACATTGTACTAAAGAGATAGAAGTTGGGCTGTTATAATCCATCAAAACTTTTTTTTTTTAATTTGCAATAACACAAGGGAAACCAATGCTTACTTACAACACTAACTCTATTTACATTGTATTGCTCTAATTAGTTACACTATTTAAATTACAATATCTAAACGATTTCCACTACTAACAAATACAGTTACATGACTTACACAACTACAGTGACGACAAGGGGCAAAGAAAAAAAGAAGAAAAATAGCTAGTTATCATTACAACTTGAGGTTGTAGTATAGAAACTCTTCATTTTATGTGGGTGTACATTAACACCAAGTACTACAGGACTTATTTGTGTAGTACAATGGATTATATATATAAAAGGAAAAAGTTGACTCTGATAATAATTGTATGTGTGTTTTACTGTGTGCTGGCAGGAGGCAGTCCAGATGGATGGGGCTTTATTTGGTGGTTTATTGGATAAATATGTGCCTCATGTAGCAAAACATATGGTAAGTTTAACCTAAAGTGTATACAGATAGTGAGGGTACTAGATTTGAAATCTGGACCTCACTACTTCATGTTTCCATTCTGTCACATGAGCTGGATTTGTTTCCAATAGTCCAAAGTTCAGCTCCTGTAATATTAAGTGATACTGGCTCTTAAAATGAACTTAGAGCACACTTTTTTAATGTTGCAGAAAACTCACCACATAGACCCATTAATGTATATGACTGAATGGTTCATGTGTCTGCTAGCAAGGTGAGAACCAAAATCAAAAGTCGTCATTTAATTTTCATACTCAGTCTTTATTGTAGGCTTGATGAGCAAGCCACACCCAAAGCTCTCTATGATAGCATGGTGAACAGGGAGCCAAACCTACTACACTGCTTTCCCTGCCAGAAAGTCTGCAGAAACCACAGATTCCAATCCCATTTCAGTAACAGAGGCACTTGCTGAGCCAGACTCCACTATAATGTCAAATAATGGCAGACCAGTTAGACCACCTGAGAAACTGAACCTTTGAATCTGGAAACTGTGGAGTGCAAAGTTATACTCAGTTGTGATTGTTACTTGACAGTACTTTGTGAAATTTTGTTTGTCATACGAAATAAATATTTCTTGATATGAAACTGAAGTAAGAAAATCAACTGGTGTTTGCTTCCAAAAGCACATGTAGTGTGTATTTAAATAAACAAAAATTTAATGATCACTTTTGCGAATTTCTTCAAGCTTTTCCCACTACTTGTGTTCAGTAACTTGCCCATACAATTTGTATCATTTTCAATTATGAGTTCCCTCAGCCGAGGCATCAAATTATACTAGCCAGTTGAAACATCTCAGATGACTATAATTTCCCATTGTCTAAGTTAGATGCCGGTGGCAGATACATACAGCAGTTTACATTTTTTCTAGTATAAAAAGAGTCATTTATAAGATGTTTTCATTTCATTTCCATTTTGCAGGAACCTTCCATTTGCTACTGTACTTCGTGTATGGGACATGTTTTTTTGTGAAGGTTTGTTGATAACCATAGCTGTTTTTTTTTGGTATTATAATAACAAGATCATGAAACACCTAATCATTTTCAGCTATTCTGCCAATACATCAAAGATCTAATTACTGCTGTTAAAATATCACTACAAACTGCTACTGCTGCAGGTAATCAGGATAAAGGAATTAAGCCACAAGTCAGGGTCAGGCAACCAGTATTCATATATATAAAACTGAAATAGAAAATGCGAGTTGAGATTTAACAGAGTTTAGTCAGAGCTGAGCTCATGGGTGTTGACCTTTTTCCCGGTTGTCGATGTCTTGTCATGCAAAGCTCCATGTTCACTTGTCTTGCAGTTAACACCTTTACTCGTTCATTATGGAACTTTAAGGTGGCTTGCTACAGTTTTGATGGAGTATGAGAGACCAACTTTTAAACCTTTTGAAAAATGTACTAAGATGTTTTAATTTGCTTTCTCAAATTACTGTTTGTGTAAGTCTTTCACCATTATATGAGATACTTGAACAATTTAAGCATCAATAAACAGCCAGCAAGAATGACTGAATGCCTAAGGTTAGACTGGGCACTAGTAGGTGTTGTTAACGTTTTTCTCCAAATCTATCTGTATAACAGCACCTCAAAATTTCAGGACTCTTCATTGGCTCTTATTATAGGTAGAACTTTGCTCTGATTAATCATAGTAAAATTAGTCTTTTAGATAAAAATCCATAAGACAGATTTTTTGCAAACTGAGAAGATGTGAAATGTTACCTATTTCAAAAAGCTCAAAATCTGTCTTGCAGGTTTTTTTAAAAATAAATTTGGGTCTAGACTGGATTCAAACCTACAAATCAACTGTGGTAATTTCATCATGGGTTGTTCGGTTGGTTTTCAATTAATCTTAGATCAAAGATGGGCTTTTGCAAGCAAGTGTAAATAAGAACTCTGTTTATCGACCGTTTTTTGTCATATTTCATCGGTCCTAGGCTTAAACACAAGTTTGAGAGCATTTTGAAACTATCGCCACTCCTATGTACATATACCACAGTGGTTATATGCAATTTTTGTCACCTGTCAGCACTACACCTGTCACCTGTCAGCACCTGGCACCTGTCAACACAACACTGAGAGAAGCAGTGTGTGGAATGAACACTTACCAAAGAATGTGGGAGGAAGGGAGGGAAACAAAGCAAGCAAACTAGCAAGCGATGGAAGCAAAGCACATGGCAATGCCCCCATAAACCTACCTGGAACCCCCCACATAATATTAGTGAAGCTGCTGCATTGGCTTAGTTTTAACCTTGCCCAAATTCCATTTAGCCTTGTTAAATTTTCTTGACGATGTCTGGCACACAAATTTGCCATGGTTTCAAGGTGCAGGACATGGTCACGTGCTAGTCGAAAGTTGAAGTTCTTGTTTCCCAAAGGAGTTAGTGAGGTTTGGCCCATGACATGTGATACTTTCTCCTGCAATCGGAAAATGTATTTGCGTTGGGAGGTATAACAACCTCAGTTGTTCGGTAATGTAAATGCTGCGAAGGAGACTGAGAGGGTCGTGAAAGGGTTGGCATATATCTGTCACCACCGTCTTTCAGCATTGGTAAACAGTTTTTAAATAACCTTTGTACTGTAGGCATGAAGTCCGGAGAAAAGATCTTTGCGAAAGATTACTGTGAAAATCATTATTTTCAGTCAAAGAACCTTTGGTTATGCTTATTTTGATTTTTCCTTTTTAAAAAGTTGATGTTTTTTATGAGTTATTCCATAGTATGGAAAGGTAAGCTTAAGTCAGTCATTATTTCCTGTGAAATTCATGGGTTTGCTCGTAGGGAACTTTGATCTTGAAATTATGTTTATCACCAAATTCCTGGCAAATTGTATATATCAATAAATGAGCATTTTCGTTCGTTTAAAATAGCATTGACTCATTTTAAATCAGTGTCCTTGATTCTCGGTTTAAGGAATTACAAAAATGATATTTAAAAGATAACTTTTTTGACCTTACAAAAGGTTTTCTACAAATGAGAGATGGTCATCTCAATCTTAACTGGCTGGAAGTATTTGGCCCACATCTAAAACATATCTCTGATGATTTTACCAAAACCACTGGCAATTCCTCAAATAATTACACAGGTCCACCAGAAGGTACATCATGTGTCACATGACTTGTGAAAAGTCTTTTAGAAATATGTATTTAAAACTCGTGATCTTATAAGTAAAACCATCCTGTCTGAAAAATTTGGTTCCAATTTTCCATTATTAGTCTCTGGAAAGATATCAAGTAAACATATTTTACTCATTAAAGTCTACTCTACATAAATCTTTCCAAACTTTTACAGCGGTCAGATAATGAGTTTCTTGAGTCAGAAATGTCTGTGTAAATGTTATCAAGCTGCACATCTGATACATGTTAACATGTACATTGTCAACTTAATGTCTTTTATGCCATAGGTGGATAAATTTCAAAGCATGAGCAAATTATTCCCTCTTAAAATATTTAGCAAATTTAATAAAGGGAGTGCTCTTTCAGTCTTTTTTCCAAAAGTAACAGCAAAGAACATGATTTGTTTTGTACTTGAGATGTGACTTACACGTACACCTTCATGCTGATATTGTGTATGATATGTATTATGGAAAAACTAGGTTGTAGTTGTTTGGTGGAAAACTATTGTCAATGCTTAGATATTCCTATGTTCTGAGACATTTTTGAACAAGCATATGAGATGTGGTATTTCTGTTGAATAATACCATCAATCATAAGCTCCAAACATTTTCTGTGATCTTTTTCTTTCATCAATATAAAAAAAATTGTCTCTGAGAGAATCTGTGAGAGAGAAATGTTTTGCAAAGCAAGGTACTCTTCGGACTATTAACATTTTTTAAACGTTTTATGCATTAATGAAGGAGCATTATTATTGGGTTGAACTGTCCTTTTTGGTCCCTCAGGAATGAAAGTACTGTTCAGAACTACTCTGGCAATAATGAAGTTAGCTCTTACTCCAAAGGATCTTCCACGCTGTCAAGGGTATGTTGACAACAGTAATTATACGCAGTCTGAAAAACAATGACTTCAAGAAAATGGCGGGAGTACTAACAGTAGAAAGTGCTGATAAAGTAAGAATGCTGCCCCAAAATACTCGGTTTTGGACCTTAACTTTACAGGAATTGCTGTGATAGGGGGCAGTGAACAGGGCTGCATCCTCCTCCCCCACCCATTTTAGGTAAAACTGTCTAATTAAACAGTTCTTTTGGTTAAGACCACTGTAATTTGACTGACGTGGAGGCTTTTTAAACCCTAAAATCAGGTAGTGATTTTACAATGAGCACAATTATTTTATCTAACATCTTAAAATTTTAGTATAAGTACTGTGATACAGTATGTAGTACAGTACCTAAAGGTCCTGTTATTCACAAAGCGCATGTGCAACTCCACTTTTGAGGCTAGCCTGTGATAATTAAGAAATAGAAAACATGTTCTCCGTGTTTCTATCGGAGTTATAGAAACACGAGTGGAAGTTT